AAGCAGACTCCCTGCTGAGCAGGGAGCCTGATGTGGGACTCGATCCCTGGACTCCAGGATCATGACCTGAGCCGAAGGCAGTCGCTTAACCAACTGAGCCACCCAGGCGCCCCTACTTTCTTTCCTGATAGTCTCCATAGATTGGTTTTTACAACATATTTTTCTTAGTAATAGTCTAAATATTTAGGAGAACTTGAAAACACAACAAATAGTGTTCCCATTTTTAAAGTCTTTTATTAAATAAGTAGTGTTGTCACCTCAATGGTCTTCTCCAACCACAAATCAGAGATTGGATAATGTTCGTCCAAACTGTGTTATTTCCTACTTTCTTCATTTCCGTGATGACCTATCTTGGTTCTGGGTCAGACTTCTTGCTAATGAACATTTAAATTCTGTCCAACCTATTTAGCTGAAGTAGATCATTAAGCGTTAGCTTCTTGCAGCTTGGCACAAATGTAGGAAAAGTGGCTTGTGAGCTAACTCTGAATTGTGGTTAATTCGGAAGAGTTGGTTACTGTGGGGGCGCCTGGGTGGCTCAGTCGTTAAGCATCTGCCTTCAGCTCAGGTCATGATCCCGGGGTCCTGGGATTGCGCCCCGCACTGGGCCACCTGCTCGCTGGGAGGCCTGCTTCTCCCTCTCCCACTCCCCCTGCTTGTTTTCCCTCTCTCGCTGTGTCTCTCTGTCAAATAAATAAATAAAATCTTAAAAAAAAAAAAAAGAGTTGGTTACTGTGTGATTTGCAGACTGAGCATTGAACTCATTTCTGAAATGAGATAATAAGGAGCTCTTATCGACCCAAATGGAAAAATACCCCATATTCATTAATAATATGCAAATCAGAATTTTGTCATTCTACATGTGATGACAAAGAACACAAAAGCAATACAAAAATTAACTTAATTGGAAATATTGTAAAATTATTTTCAACATCATATGTTAAATTAAGGAGTTAGCTTTGATTGCTAAGTAGATAATAGAGAAAACCAAAGTAGTAAGCCTGGTTAGCATTTGTGCAAATGCTTTACAAATTACTTATTTTCTAGTACCATCACAACACTTAATAGTGGTCCATTTAATAGGAAGACAATTCAAGTTGAAATAGATGATAGTTAAGTAGATGATTTCAGGGAAGACTACAAGTTGTTCAAAAATTTCTCTAAATGATACATCTTTTGTATCCAGAGAGCTAAAAAATACATTCCAGGATCTAGTCCTTCTCCTGGTACATGGCGGACAGTATTTGTGGAAGGAAGAAGGAAGGGAGGAAGGGAGGGGAGAGAGTGGGGAAGGAAGAAATAAATACCAGGGGAAAAGCTTTAAATCTATTTTCTCTATCTCCTGGGCACTGGAGAAGTCTGGGTGCTAGAGAGAAACAATCCGGGAATCAACTGTGACTCTTACCCTAGGATTAATTAATTCCATCTTCAAATCTCTTTTCGCAGCTCAATCCTCTCCCAAGACATCCAGCTTCAGCTCTTGATATCTCCAGGTCAGGCTGTGCAGCGGTGTAGACTCAAATGATATACAGAGTGTGTAGTTGAGCTCAGAGCCATCCCTGAGCCCTGAGCCACCTCCAAAACATAGGGATCTAGCAGAAGGGGAGGGGCGGGCAAAAGAGGCTGAGAAGCAGGGACCAGAGAAACCAGATGAGCAATGGCCACTCAGGGAACTCAGCAAAACCATCTGCCTGGGGCCAGTAAAGAACCCTAGACATGACTGAGATTAGGCCTCATACTCCGGCTGAACGAAGGCTTAGAGTCAGAAATTTTCCTGTTACACATCAAAAACTAATGATGTAATATATGGTGATTAACATAACAATAAAAAAATAAAAATTAAAAAAAATTTTCCTGTTACAGTAAAATCTTTTAAGTTATCCTTCTTGCATATCTGAGTTTAGGGAGTGAGATTCCTACTCACTACTAATAAAGTGATTACATGCAATTTTATATTTACATAATTAACTAGATTATTTATGTGTTTATGTAAATATTACAAAATAATTAGTGTTCTGAAGACAAAGAAAGGTCTAGGAAAGAGGAGAGGAGCTCACTTGAGTTGCTGCCTTCAGTAAGAGAAAGCAATTCAAAAGCATGAGTTCTAGTGATTCCAAAAGGATGAGGAATTTGGGGCTTAAGGGTGAGAGAACAGACATGAAAGCTATTGACAGTTTGACGGCCCAATTCAAAGCTTGAGAAACAGAGGTATGTTGAGAATGGCCCCCCAAAAAATTTCAGAGAAACTGGTTCTTTTAGAGGAAAGAAGTAGATTACTCACTGTTGGAAAAGGTTAAGAAAAATTTAGGGGTATAGGTAGACTGCAGATTTTCTTAGTTGGGAGTTCCTCATCTGAACCCATAGCACAACTGGAGTGACTGTTTCCCGATTCTCACAAGAGCAGTAAGTCTAGAATCTGGAACGGGTGGCCCTGTTCTGACACATCAGGTAGAAGTTAAGGAATCTCATGCAATGGATGCCATAGGGCCCTGGGGCTTCATTGTTGAGAAAGGCTCAAAAGACAGTACACAATAACAGAAAACAAAAGTTAGAGCCTAACACTTAAAAATGGAGATCTCACCTAGGGGAGTTCCAAGCCTCGCTGAGCCAAAGTGGTCTGATTCTGGAAAGGGGGGGGTGGGTAAGCCGTTCCTGACTCTGATATCCTGTTATTCTGTGTTTACAGCCAATGTGCTCTCGGCAGCTCATTAGGGTAACTACACCCACCTTGCTGGCGGCGCTGAGCTGGGGCACCTCGCCTCTATTCTTTCAGGACCCTACTAGCCAATAACCATCACTGAGCCCAGTTCTGGAACAGCATCTCCTACCATCAGCCCTGGCCTTCAGAACTCTGGAGAACAGCTACCAGAGCTATTTGGGACGGGAGGGCTAAGATTGCTGGTATTTAAGGGTACAAATGCATAAGGAGTAGTAAATAGGCCACAGGGACCTAATGCACAGTGTAATGAATATAGGTAATAGTACCGTACTACAATTATGTAATGTGATAAATATTGCTACACCAGCAATCATATTACCACATATAAATGCATCGGCGTAACAGGCTGCACACCTTAAACTTACACATGTTATATGTCGAATTTGTTCAATAAAAAACCAAAAATTTAATAAATAAGTAAATAAATAATTAAAAAAAAAAAAGTTTCTCAGTGATGCTGTTACCTTCTTACCAGGCCAGGCTTTATCCCAGGGTAAATGGAGATATCCACAGAACACAGTTCTTGGTGGGTTTGCTAGTCTGTATAGTACATTCAATGTCGCATCCCCACTTCTCTGGACATTTTGATTCCATCCGTCACCATTTGTCACGCAGTTCTTCAGTTCTGCCTCACTTTTGTGAGCGGGTACTTTTTTCCAGTTCCGAAGAGGCAAACTGACAGTATATTAGCGCCATCTCCTGGGGTCCTTGTCAAGGTGTAAATCCCGTACCAGGAGAGAATGCTCTCCAAACAAACTCTCCTTCTTCGATGTTATATTCTGTGCACCCTCGGGAGCCGGTCCCACGCACACACTCCCACTTCTTTTTATTTTTTATTTTTTTTATTTACATATAATGTATTATTTGTTTCAAGGGTACAGGTCTGTGATTCATCAGTCTTACACAATTCACAGTGCTCACCATAGCACATCCCACCGCCCCCACTCCAGCAACCCTCAGTTTGTTTCCTGAGATTAAGGATCTCTTATGGTTTGTTCCCTCTCTGGTTTCGCCTTGTTTCATTTTTCCCTCCCTTCCCCTTTGCTCCTCTGTCTTGTTTTCAAATTCCTCATATCAGGGCGCCTGGGTGGCTCAGATGGTTAAGCATCTGCCTTCAGCTCAGGTCATGATCCCAGGGTCCTGGGATCGAGTCCCGCATCGGGCTCCCTGCTCCTTGGGAGCCTGCTTCTCCCTCTGCCTCTCTCTCTCTCTCTCGTCTCTCATGAACAAATAAATAAAATCTTAAAAAAAAAATTCCTCATATCAGTGAGATCATATGATAATTCTTTCTCTGATTGATTTATTTTGCTTAGCATAATACCCTCTAGTTCCATCCATGTCGTTGCAAATGGCAAGATTTCATTTTTTGATGGCTGCATAATATTCCATAGTATATATATACCACATCTTCTTTATCCATTCATCTGTTGTTGGACATCTAGGCTCTTTCCATAGTTTGGCTGTTGTGGACATTGCTGCTATAAACATTGGGGTGCATGTGCCCCTTCGGATCACTACATTTGTATCTTTGGGGTAAATACCCAGTAGTATTTACTCTATTTTCTATTTTCAACTTTTTGAGGAAACTCCATACTGTTTTCCAGAGTGGCTGCACCAGCTAGCATTCCTACCAACAGTGTAGGAGGGTTCCCCTTTCTCCACATCCTCACCAACATCTGTTGTTTCCTGACTTGTTAATTTTAGCCATTCTGACTGGTGTGAGGTGGTATCTCATTGAGGTTTTGATTTGGATTTCCCTGGTGCCGAGTGATGTTGAACACTTTTTTATATGTCTGTTGGCCATTTGGATGTCTTCTTTGGAGAAATGTCTGTTCACATCTTCTGCCCATTTCTTAATTAGATTATTTGTTCTTTGGGTGTTGAGTTTGATAAGTTCTTTATAGATTTTGGACACTAGCCCTTTATCTGGTATGTCATTTGGAAATACCTTCTCCCATTCTGTCAGTTGTCTTTTGGTTTTGTTGATTGTTTCCTTTGCTGTGCAAAAGCTTTTTACCTTGATGAAGTCCCAATAGTTCATTTTTGCCCTTGCCTCCCTTGCCTTTGGCGATGTTTCTAGGAAGAAGTTGCTGCAGACACTCCCACTTTTTTTTTTTTAAGATTTTATTTGACAGAGAGACAGCAAGAGCAGGAACACAAGCAGAGGGAGTGGGGGAGGGAAAGCAGGCTTCCCAGCGAGCAGGGAGCCCAATGGAGGGCTCAATCCCAGGACCCTGGGATCATGACCTGAGCCAAAGGCAGACGCCTAACAACTGAGCCACCCAGGCGGCCTGACACTTCCACTTCTTGATGTCACGTGCTGACAAGTCTTACAACTACTGCAGGGTATAGCCCCTTTCTTCCTTAGCAGGCCCAGCACTTCTCGGCCAGGTTGCGTTGTGACTTGACCCTAGTTAGGGGCCTAATGGCCAAGAGAGGAGGAGACAGAGAAGCCTCCTGAGAAGGGCATGGTTTTCTTGTGAGGCAAGATCCTCTGCATCATCTGCAAATAAACAAAAGTCACTAGTCTTTTTTTTTTTTTTTTTTTAAGAGGGAAGGGGGTTAGGAGCCGAGGGAGAGAGAATTTTAAGCAGGCTCAACACGGAGCCCACACAGGGCTTGATCTCACGACCCTAAGATCATGACTTGAGTTGAAATCAAGAGTCCGATGCTTAACCACCCGAACCACCCAGAGGTCCTGGCACTACACTAGTCTTTAAAGAAGGAGTGCTGGGCACCGGGGTGACTCAGTTGGTTAAGTGTGGGACTCTTGGTTTCAGCTCAGGTCATGATCTCAGGGTCATAGGATCCAGCAACCTTGTGGGCCTCTGCGCTCCTCAGGGAGTCTGCTTGAGATTCTCTCCCTCTGCCCCTCCGCTTTCAGCCCCCCTCCACCCTCACTCGTGCACTCTCTTTCTCTCAAATAAATAAATCTTTAAAAAATAAAAGAAAAAAAAAAAGAAGAAGAAGGAGTGAGTCCTGTCTGCAGGCCCAGAGGGTCCAAGGGAATCTGAAGATTCAAGATTTTTTAGCGCGTCAACCCAGAAGTCCCCATCCAAAGTCTCACTTCTTCCAAATCAGGGCCCTGGCCTGGATACAGCAGACTCAGTACCGTTCAGAAGTCAACATTCTGTGGAACTCCGCTACTCTTACCATTTCTAAGTCTCCAGCATTACTGCCCCCAGGCTATAGGAGCTGGGAGTCTATTTACACACAGCCAAAGCAGCACTCTGGCTTCACATTTCCCATTGCATTGGTGAGTAATCACCCTAGCCTTTCCTTGTTCCTCTCCAACGCATCTGCATCCGTGGCTCCAGGCAACTGCCATCTAATTCCACAATTCTTACTTAATTTTCCCCTGAAACCCTCAAATCCCTGGGACGTTACACCTACCAATGCATTCATTGCCTTCCATCAGAAGCCCATCTCAGTTCTCACCTGTACAAGCTTTAACAATCACTCTGGAACTGCATGCCTGGGTCCCCCTACAGCCAGCAAGGGCATCTTTATTACATTCAGCCAGGTCCAGAAACAAAATTCCATTTTAGAGACAGTTCCTTAGGACCACATCCAGGATCAGCTGTCACAGGGTGGATTTACCGGGAAACAGACTCTAAGACGTTGAGGTTTCTGTGCAGAAGTTATCAGAGTGTCCTTGCAGAAACAGATCCTGTGGGTGGTGAAGAAAGAAAGACCCAGCAGACAAAAGGGTTGGACTGTAACGCAGCTCAGGGGAAGTCTCGGCAGATCCCATGGGGAGCGCTGAAGCTGGCATAGCTCTAGCAAGATATCCCACATAGAGGCAAGGTGGACAAGTCTTTGTCCACACATGAACCAATCATCAGATATGCATGGTACCCGGGCGGGCGGGGGGCGGGGGCTCAGGGTGGGTATCACAAAACCTTAGGTAAAGTGTCTTTCTTTGGCTGAGAACAATTATAGAAAGCAGTCCAGCTGAGAGGCATCCGCCAATGACCGCAACCCCCCCCCCCAACCTCAACCCCGGAGCGGGAGGAATGAGGGGAATCTGGCTGGCAAACCACAGCATCCACAATGCTCTTCAACACTGGGCATGTCACTTACCTTGCTGAGACTGTTTCCCGACCTGTAAAATAAGAGAATAATCCCGACCTCACAGGA